ATGGGATGTCGAGGGACCACCCTGCAGTCCGCATGTCCTGGGTGCTATTCAGGGATGGCCTCCAAGATACCCCCCAGCCCCAAAACATTATGGTTACTGGGTGGCACTGAAAACGTGTTTAAAAGCCCAGTTAGTCATAGACATGGCCTCTTTTTTATTTCCCACCATACAAAGTAGTATAAAACCTTGACACCTCATTGTGGCAGCAGCAGAATGAGGGGAATTAGAGGGAAATGCTTATTTTGGGTGGATGGGGAGCACAGCTGATGAGGAGGAAAACACTTTTGCTGTCTCAGAGTCATTTTCTCCATTGTGAAAATGTCAGGGGGGTCAGCTGCGATCAGCAGGCTGCTGTGCCCAGCCTGATCCCAGGGGAGCACAGCTGGTACATGCTGCTTGCCCAAGCTAAGGGAGATCTCTCTTTCTATCTCTTTAAAAACATGTTTTTCTCGGGTGTCTCTTTGAAGTTCTTACCAGAACTTTCAGCACGAAACACCACTTTTATTATCCTTTAGTACCCACCCTTCAGCATCTTCTCAAACCACTGAGCCCCTTTGCTCCTGGGAGGATTTCTTCCAAAAGGAACTATTTTCTCCCTCCCTGAAAGTGCCCATATTAATGTTAAAGCTACAATTGGCAGATGAAACATGTAAGACATCTTGGTACGACATCAAAAGCGAACAGGTTGCCAGGCTGGACAGGGCAGGAGGAAGCTCTGTGCTGGTCCTGGCACGTTTTGCTACTGTGGTTTGTGAACATGTTCATGCTATTGCAAAGCACAGAGCCCCTCTTCCCTTCCTGCCCTTCAGCTAGAGCACCCAGGGTGCTGCAGTGCCAGCAGCTTTAGCGGAGCACAGATGGCCTGGGGCTGGTCGAGCAGATCACAGCATCCACACATGTGGAAAGGACAGAGCTGGCTCTGTAGCATCAGCACATCACCCTAGCAGAGCTCTGACAGCTCTGTGAGGAGCAGCCCTGTCCCTCCCTGTGGATACAGGAAGGATTCGTGGAGCTCCGCATCTAAGTGAGCATCCTGACCTTTGCACAGGTGCCCTGTTTGCATGATGTGGGATGTTAAATCTTGCCTTAATGTGACTGCCAAACACCAGTTTTTGTGAAGTGTGCCGGGCACTTCCCCATAAATAAATGATGGAGCATTATTCAGTCCACTTAGATCAATACATCAGCTTGACAAGTTCCAGTTCTGGGAATTTTCAGACCCCTTGGAACATCTTCTCTGCAGCTGTGCTGCTTATAAACCATGGTGTGTAGCCCAAACAAGCTCTAGGGAGCAGGGCATCAAGACCTGGCTATGTTAGTCCTGTTACCTTTCTGGCCCTGGTATTGCTAGGGATTGCAGCAAGGGAAGGCAGGGTAAATTTAGTGCCAAACTGTCCAAAGCCTGTATTCTCCCCCTGCAAGCAGCACTGTATCACTGCCCAGCCTCACTGGTGTGCCCTTCACACACAGAAGACCATCTTTGTTCCCCAGCACTACCAGAAATGGGTCCTGGAGCTCTTGTTTCTGGCTCTTTGCAGACTGAGGCAGATGTGTCACAGCCACCGGGAAGGTTTGTGGTCCAGTGCAACAGGAGGATGGTTTCAGACCCATTTCACTTTATTTAAAGCCAGCCCAAAATGATGTGGCTGCATGCACACAGCACCTCCATGCCCCTGGCTGCTGTACCCCTTGTCTTATCCCCACTTCTGGTTATTTGGATTTTCTGGAGGCTATGTGAGGTACAGGTCACCTAAGGACCTACCTCCCCATACCTGCACTTGTAACAAGGTGCTGGCTCTATGCATGGAAACACTTCATGTTTCTAATCTCCTGCTGCTCTTAGCTCACATTTATCACAAGAGTATCTGCTTCCCTTTGATTCGAGATCCCTGCATCAGGGACCCAGGGTGGTTCTGTCTGTGAACTCCTGTGTATGCCGAGGGGATTGTATAAGTAAATAAATATAATTAATAATTACCCGACTTCAGAGCAGCATTGGCAGGGAGGTGAATGTGGCCTTCATAGAATTACAAACAAAATCAGGATAAAAAGGAAGACCTTTCTGGGAGCTGGTGTGAATGGAAATAATTGTGTTCAACCTGCATGAAAATTACTCTGCAAACATCATTTGGGTGGTTTGTAGCAGAGCAGAGGCATTGGGTTTATCTCTAAATCGTAATTTTGACCAAAACCATTTAAAAATAGCTTTTTTGGTAAAGCTGACTGCATTTTCTGTCAATTAACATGCAGATAAAAATGAAACACCACAGGGTCCTGGCCCTGCTTCGGTGTCTGACCCAGAAGGGAGCAAGCAACCCAGTCCCTGCAACATCAGGACTGAACCAAAGGGAGGAACAAATTACTGTGATTTACTTGCAGAAAGGGTTTCATAAGGGCGTTTTTTACATCCTTTGGCTTGCAAGCAGACCAGGAGCATCCCAAACTGCCTCATAGTTTGCCATAGGGATCAGTGCTGAAGGGGCAGGGGGCTACAGCGTTGCCAGTGGATGTGGTGGTGGAGCCGGTGTGAGCGTGGCTGTGGTTGGCACTGGTGTCCCAGTGGCAACCCCGGCGGGCTGGGGAGCCCCACGCTGGGGAGCCTCCAGCACTTTCTGCTTTGCTTTAACAGTCAGAAGAAGAACTTTCCTGTTTAAAGATTAAACGCTGTGTTTAAATATTAAAGAGCAAAGCTCCTCGCTCTTGATTGTGTGGCTGCTGCCGGCAGGCGGCTCGGAATTGCCAATTTTAATTAAAAAACTTGTATTTTCCAGTGCAGCCCAGCGATGGCTCCTCCTTCCGGCTGGGGCTGCCTTGCCTCTCCCCTTGGCTTCCCTTCACCTCTGCCCGCATCTCCCTCTGCCTGCAGCACAGCGATGCTCCCTACCAGCCCCGAAGTGCAAGCGGCCTCGTCTGGGACTGATCAATGCCCCTGGCACTTCCTTCCAAAACCCCAGGAAAAACAATTAAAACCCTATCGATCGTGCAGGCAGCTTTGAATATGCATAAGTGCATACTTGACCTTCAGTGGTCAGGCCAACTTCCACCCTGGCTGCTTAGCGAGTTTGCTCAGGTATTGCGGCTGTATCGAATGACCTTGGTTAGGAAAGCAAAACGCGATGCGGGGATGGGTCTGGTGCCGATCCTGGGGCCAGCTCCCTGCTGAGGATGCTGCTGTGGTGCTGGGGTAGGCAGGCTGGGCTTGGCATGAGCACCCAGCTGTAAGGAGCTTTCCAAAGCTGTCTCCATGGCTTTCCCAGGATCCTGCCAGCCTCCTGCTGTGCTCCCCTGGTTGGCCAGGGCCTGAGGGATGTGTCTGTGCTGGAGAAGCAGCCTGCAATATGGTAGCTCAGAGCCTGCCTTGTCTCTGTGCGGGGACAGCCCTGCTCCCTCTTGGTGTCCTCCTCTGAAGCCTGTGGGGACACCCCTTCTGCAGGGATGCCTCAGTGCTGGCAACCCTGGGTCTGGACCTGCTGGTGCTGAGTGAGGACCTTACTGCGCTGTGCCTGGGCTTGCTTTTTGGGATGAAGCCCAGGAGAGGGAGCCACATGCGGAGCCACTGCCACCATCACCCAGGGCCACCCAGCAGGCGGGTGGCAGGGTCCCATGCTGCGCTCCAACCCGGGCTCCCCCCATCCACCTGCATCCCAGCCATGGCAATGAAGATAGCAGAGCGTGTTTGTTGAAGGCAGAGGAAACCTCCCCGTTGTGTACACAAAGTGTAATTTCAGTGAATTATGCACAGACTTAATTAGGAGTTTTAATTGCTAATCATCTCCCAATAGGATTAGCAATGCTGTCTATTAATTATCTGTGGAGCCCTCTGTTTTGCTAAGGCAGGAGTAACAAAGCAGCGTGAATGGTTACGTAGGCTGGTAATAAATTAACTCCCCCAAGCCCCATAGCCCCCAGGGGGCTGCCAGCCCTGCCTGTGCTGTGCAGAGCAGCAGGTAGTGGGAGCAGAGGGATGGGCAGCAGGTCCCAGTGGCAGGCAGGGGGGTGATGGGCTCTGGGGGTACCGCTCAGCTCCACTCAGCCCCATTCCTGCTGCAGAGAGCATCTTTCCCCATGTCCGCAGCCTGTCGGTGATACCCCGCCGCGCTGTGGCCGTGGTTAGCGATGATCCCCACTGCAGGAGGGAGATAGGGGCTGCTGGATTGACCTGATCTCATCTGGGGACAATGGCCCTCACGGCAGCAGAGATAGCGCCAGCGTGAGCGACGCTAAGCCCACGCACCCTTCTTACTGCTCACAATGCGGCGCTGAGCTTAATTCCTGCAGATGAAGAAGATACGTGGCTGTCAGGCTGTAATTACAGCCGTGCGTGTGACACGGGTCCTGGCTGCTTTTATGCTTGCATTGTCCGGTGGGGTTTTGTGTTGATCAGGCTCCAGGCTGCTTTGATCCTGCAGGGATGGAGCAGGCTCCCTCTGGCCAGGCTGTGGGCTCTGTGCAGTGGGGTGGGCAGTGCTGGCTTCCAGTCGGGTTTCTCCCAGTGATGGCAACTGTGGTCTGGGACTGGAAATGAAAGGGGAGGCTGGGAGAGCTGTGGTTGCTGGAAGGAAAGGGAGCTGCTGGCCATGGGCACCCCTGACTCCTGCTGCTGACCCCATCTGTGGTGAGGCAGGAATGGGGAGATGGTGCTGAAGCAACCCAGGGACATGCAGGATGAGCTCACAGCCCCTGGCTCGCCCCAGCATGGCGAAAGTGGTTTTGAGTGATGCCAATCCAGCACAGTGCCCAGCAAACCTCATGAGGGTTGTCATCTCTACAGACCAGCAGAGACCTTGCTCACCTCTTCTCTGAGGTGCATCAGGTGGGACGGGGCAGGGTGAGAATGCTTTGAGCTCAGGAGAGCTGCTGCAAAGATGATGCGCGGGTCCACACTGAACACGGTGAACACAGACCCACACCAGTACCAGGAGCAACCAAGCTTGGGCAAGTACAAAACGTGTCTGCACATGGGCTGTGCACCCATCTGACCCTCTGCTCTTCTCTTCCAGGCTTACAGCTTTGCCATGGGGAGTTGGCCAAAGAATGGGCTCTTAGACATGAACAAAGGACTGAACCTACAGCACATAGGGAGGCCTCACAGCGGGATAGGTGAGTGATGCCGCCCCGTGCCCATCGTTCCCCACAGCTGCTGCTCCAGGCACACAGGATGTGCCTCTGCTCCAAGAGCTTGTCCAGGCTGGGGTGCTGAGAGCCAGTCAAAGGGCTGCAGGGTCTCCAGCTGGTGGAAGGGACAAAGATGTGTCAGGGCAGGATAGGCACACAGATGAGCTCTCCGTCCCTGACACATCCCAGTGTGCCAAACACACCTCTGGCTGGGGAGCTGCTCCCCTCCTTGGCTGCTCTGGCAGTGCTTAGGACGGTGTGGATGTGGGCAGCACAGGGGTTGCACAGTGCCTGGACCACAGGGCAGGGGTCTCCAGGCTGGTTGGGATGCTCTCCCCATTGGACCAGTCCTCCAGCTGCTCTGGAAAGGACGCTCTGCCAGGCAGTACAGCCTTGGAGCTGGCTGGAAACATGTTGCTGAGTGAAGATGCATGGCCCCAGCTGGAGAACTGAATCATCATCCCGTTTGCTCACGTGTGATGAGTTTCATGGTCCCACAGCTGAAATAACCATGCATGGTGCCAGTGCTCCATGTTTCCCCTACCTCCTTCACAGCAGGGATCAAAGTGACATGAAGATGCAGACCTGGCCTGAGACACCGAGGCCATGTATCTGCCTGCTGCTTAGTGCTGGGGGCACAGAGCTGGGACAGCAGCAGGCTGTGGTATGGCAGGAGCTCAGATTTACTGGGCTGTAGGCAGGGCTGTAACTCAGGGCTGCATCACTCTTGCCTGTCTCATTTCTCTGCGGGGTGTTGGATCACCTCTTGGAGAGCAGCAGTCAGGTGTTCCCTCTGCTTCCCAGCGCTTCATCCACAGTGACGTGTGGCCATTAAAGTTTGCAAGGAGGTAAGATTTACTTGGAAAAGTCATTGGCTACCTGGGCCTTGAGGAGGCTGTTTAATATTGTTTCAAGGCTCTAACCATTAAACTCTCCAATCAATCCAAGTTAAGGAGATGAATTATTTAAAGCTCACCCGCTTTTAATTAGCAAGCTCCTTTTGAACTATGGATCTGGTTGCATTATTGACAGAGGTAGCATTAAAATTTGCTTCCTTGCCTGGGAGCAGATTTGCCTTGCTTTTGTGCCATGTTGAGCAGATCATGGGGAGGGAGCAGGGACTGTAGGAATTGTGTGTGCATGTCCTGCTGTGGGGGCTTGGGCTTTTCCTAGGGTCTCCTGAGGGTGCAAGGTTGGTTTGTGCCTCATCTTCCCTCATTTTATTTATGTCAGGAGCTCTCTGTTGCTGTCTTCTCTTGCTCTGACAAAGCATCCCTAGCACTGGAGTATCATCCGTCTGTTGTTGGTTTCTGCCTGTGTTTATCTCAGTGCTGTTGTCTTGCACAGCCTGATGGAATTCAGAGAGATGCTGTTCATGTCTCTCCTCGTTACAGTCCTCTAGGAGGGTTTTGCAACTTCATTTCTGCCAAACTCCCTCTGTGAGGAGCACTCCCAGCTCTCCCCAGTACAAGGTAAACCACAGGCAGATTGCCCATGTTGAAGCAAGGCCCAGCAGCCAAGCTCCCTTCTTGCAGCACTCCATCCCAGAGGCAAACCTGCCTTTCACACACTCTTTGAAGGGGTTTCTATGGTTGCTGTGAAGGATGCCACACCAGCAGAGTGATGGTCCCCATCTCCCTGGCACTGCCAACAGCACACATGTGCCCTGTGTGTTGCAGCCTGCTGGTTGTTCCATTTGGGCTGGGTCCAGAGCAGCTCTGCCTTGGGTATCAGCAATCCTCTGCCTTCCTGTTGAGGTGGCAGCCACTGGCACCCTGTGTCTGGTGCCTTTACCACCGGCTGGGCCTCTGGGAGTGAGCTGAGGGCATGGTTCATTGAATGTCAGCAGGGAGAATGGCTTCTCCTCCTGGCCAGGTTGGGAGCCCCAGGCACAGCTGCTGCCTGCAGTGTCAGTGCTGCTGGCTTTGGGGCTTGGAATCCCAGTGTCCCCCCTGGGATAAGGCTTGGGGCAATGCTGGTGTCTGGAGAAATGCCTTGCCTGGCATTTTGTCAGGGCACCAGCCTCTTGGCCTCCTGGCCACTTCGTTTCCCAGCCTGCTGGCTGGGAATGGATGGGCATGGGTCAAATGTTGGCTCTAGTGACACCCCAAGAGGTCCCCAGCCCAAACGCAGAGGAGGTGATGTTCACTGCAGAGGAGGCCTGGCTTGCTTGGGTCTGGCTTTGCTGCCTCATCCTGGAGCAAGCATCAGTCCTTCACAGCTGACTCCTTCCATATTGGCTACTGAAACTGGGCACAGTCGTCCCAGTTGCTGACGGTCACCCTGTACCTGAGCAGTCCTCACCACTCTCCTCTTTCATGCTCTAAACTGCTCTTGCTTCAGGGCTGGTAGGAGCCATCCCTTTCCCTGCCCAGGACTGCCTTTCCCTTCAGAAGTCTGCAAACTGAAGAGTGTTGAGAAGGGAACAGGAAGGACATGTATTAGCCAGCCACACCATTGTCATGAATACCGTGCCATCATCCCTGCAACTCCTTTCCTGGCAGCATTGGGACTGGTCTGGGGGGATGCAGGCAGTCCTGTGAAGCCTCAGCTCACTCATGCAGGAATGTGCAACATGGGTATTTCCCTTCAAATACGGCAGAAAAATTTCAGTGGATGGCCACTTGCTTTTGCAAACAATTTGCAAGGAATTTTGCAGCCTCACCTGACCGATTGTGTGTTGCTTTATTTTCAAATCACTCTCAGATTCACTGGCTCAGTCAGTATCCACTCCAAATCCCTGCAGTTTGCATGTTTGTGGACCAGTCCCACTTGATGCTTCACCTTATCCCCTTCATCTTGTTCAAAATCCAGGGAGTGCAGGGTATTTATCCTCTATGGATTCCCTTTGGGCTGAATGTGGCCCTGAGGGCCTGTCCTGGGTTCAGCAGTAGCAGTCATTTTTCTCCTTCTTGGTAGCTGGTGCAGCGCTGTGTTTTGACTTTCAGCCTGGGAACAGTGCTGATAACACCAATGTTTTCAGTTGTTGCTAAGTGATGTTTACCCTGACCAAAGACTGTGTGAGGCTCATGCTCTGCCAGGGAGGAGGGGAAGCTGGGAGGAAGCAGAGACAGGACACCTGACCCAAGCTAGCCAAAGAGGTATTCCATACCACAGCATGTCATGCCCGGGGGGGTGACTGGGAGTTACCCGGAAGGACACGGGGTCTTCTGGATCAGACTCGTTTGTTGGCCGGTGGTATTGTATTCTCTTCCCTTGTTATTTTCTCTTATCATTGTTGTCATTGGTGGTCGCAGCGGTGATTTGTGTTGTACATTGGTTGCTGGACTGTTCTTGTCTCAACCCATGGGAGTTGCATTCTTTTCGATTCTCCTCTCCGTCCCTCTGGGAGTAGGGGGAGGGCAAGAAGGGGGGGAGTGAGTGAATGAGCTGCCTGGCTGGGTTTAGACCACAACAGGGCCACACAGGACTAAATGAGTGTCAGCTCTAGCATGGACTGTAGGATCTTGGGGTGAGGAACTTCTGGTGTTTTCTTGGCCCTTAACACTATGAAGTTGAGTCTTGCCAAGAAGTTACACCCCTTACAGATGTGTGTATGTTGCCATTCTTAAAACATGTGTTTGAGGCACTGCTTGCCAAAAAAGAGCTGCAGCTTCTAATAGGGTTGTTGGCACTCTCATGCAAAGATCAGCAGTCACTGGCTCCATACAAGTCTTGCACTGGGGTCTCGCTACTGAGTTCCAGAGACTGATATAAATCAGAATTAAAATCCCAGGGTTTAGTTGTGATTGAAACCAGCTAGCGCATCACCCGGATTCAGGAATTTATTTTCTTATATATTTGCCTTTTCACGTGTTTCCCTAAAAAAAGGTCAAGTTTTACCAAACAGCACCTATCAAACTGAGCGCAGCTCTTCTTATCACTGCCCAATTGTTAAACCTGGTTTTCTTTTATTCATCAGATACTCTATTTTTGCTACATTTATTTTGATCAATTATGTAGCATAATATGCCTTTAGTCTTAGTTTTTAGATACCCATTATGATAGAAAAATGGGGAATTACTATTTGTTCTTAAAGAGGCGGTGATTAAATTATTTTGGGTAAAGATTTGAATGCCATACTGAAGTACCCCATCAGTAGTTTGAATTGGTTTTATTCATAAAATCCTGTTTCCCTTGCCATGTACTCAATACAGAAGGAAAAGTCAATTTCAGAATCCTTTCTAGGTAAGAACACCTCATGCATGAACCCAAAGCAAGAGGTGATGGGTGAGCTGAAGCAGTGTTTCTGGAGAGCACCAATTCAACATTTTAGCATTAGTACATCTCATCCTCTCCCACCTTCGTTTGGTGGTTTGTTTGTTTCCCTGATTATGAAAGGATAAAAGGCACACTTCCCCCCTTCCACCCCCCCAATCATTGGTTGTTTCTCAGCTCTGAACAAGCCATTGAAATGAAAATACACTGAAAAAAAACCAAAAAGTTTCTAAAGCTGCAGAAGTAGCTGCTGCTGCTGGGAAAGTTTTTCTCATTCGTCAGCTCTGCTTCCACCTCAGGTGCATTGACTGTCTTTAAAACATGATGTTACCCCTTGCTACTGATCTTTTAAATCTAATTGAGTTTAACTGAATCTTTAAGGTTCAGGCTTTAGCACACACATTATTATGATTTTAGATTTAGTGCTAAATGTCTGGTTTGGGGTTGTTGTTCTTTTACTTTGGGGGGAAAGAGGGTTCCCAGGCTGCTGTGTCTCTTGCTAGTGAACCCACACTGCCCATCCCAGGATTGCTGGTCCCATAGCAACATCTCTCTCAACACGATGCCCTCACGGGGCTGTTTTACACCAGCTGATGTAATCCTGCAACCCTTGAGCCTCTGCACAGGGCTTCACCGTCTTCCCTGTGCAAACAGTCCCCCTGGTCAGGGCTGTGCTCCCTCCATGAGGATCTCTACCATGCCAAATGGAAAAGCCCTACCTGCCTGGGCAGGTCAGCAGCCCATGCGGTGAGCGACCCAGCAAACCA